CAGATACCTGTCTATTTCCTCTATTTGGCTATCTGTCCATTTCCTTCACTTAGCTACCTATCCTTACTAATTGGCTGTCCATTGCTTTACCACCCAGCCATATCCACCTTTAGCCCTATTTAAACTATATGAGCCAATCTCTGATCCCTGACGGGGAGTATGACCTCGATATATCCTGCCTAGCGGTGTCCAGCAACTCGTACCAGGCGAAGCAGGAGCAGCAGCGCATGGAAGAGACTTTCTCGATCCGGTACGGGTTTCTTCCCGATTCCATGGATCCCACAAAACCGTTAACGATATACAAGATGCTGGATGAGGACAACCGATACGCCATCAAAGCACCGTCGTTGGACGAAAGCCAGGACATTTTTTTGGAGGGTGTGGCGCTTGGGGGCACGCAGCCCGGGCTGGCGTCCGAGTACGCCATGATCTACGAAGACGGCCATTTTGTGTTGAAGCCAGTCCATGGCTCCATCCGCGCCAGTAAGTCGCGAAACCCCAAGACGTTGGACACAAAGGCGCGAGAAATGGAAAGGAGCACAGGCACATCGCCGAAGAAGGAAAAGCTCCCGTTATCAAAGGCGTCACACCAGAAGGTATCGCTGAAGCGCTTGCCCTCTGCTGCGAGCACTCCATCACCAGCACAGGAGGAAGAGGAGGTCATAATCCACGACTCGGACTTTGACGACTTGGATTTCCAGTTTGACGACGATTCCAAGTTGGTGATCGATGAGAAGGCCAGAGCCCCTTTAGCTCCGAAGATCGAGGTAGCCACCCCGCAGTCACCCTTGAGACACGAGCTCAAGTCGTCACCTACATTGCCCGTGGCCACCCCGGGTTCCCGACCGGTGCTGACCGTGGCGTCCAAGCGCTTGCTCTCGTCGAACATCCCAACACCCGACTTTCACAGTGACGACGAGTTTGGTGACATAGAAAACGAGCTTGAGCAGGTCCTCCAGGAATCCTCTGATGAAGATGAGTTCAAGATGGAGATTGACGAGGGAGCCAAAGTGCATGAGAAGCCCAGGGCTGCGGCTGTGCAGTTAGACACCAGCCGCAACGTTGGCGGGCCCATCAGTTTACGCGGATTGTCTGCCAACGGCCGCAGAAAGGAGGAGGAGGACATGAGCAGCAGTGAGGAAGAGTAGCTTTCCAGAGTTATGTCCATGCCCACTCTCAGATTCAGCCAATAACTGAAGTCATACCATACATGCTCTTGCCTGGTCGATGAGATATTGAAGTATACCCATACAACTATAACTAGATTATAATATGAGTATCGACAGAGAAACCAGGGATCAATACCAACCAGGCATATAATGTACGTGCTTGAATTAATGATAATTGTAATAATAATTGTAATGAGTAATTTTATATGACAGTACCACGGCAGTCGTATTGTACATAACGTACTGACACGCACAAGGGGCTATAGACCAATATCAGTTCTGCAAATAACAGTTTAGAAGTAATCTAGACCACCCATTAAATAGCACAAAAACTCTAACATTTATGCTAGCAATGACCCTTCATTTCATGTTCTCTCGCAGGCATAAGGCTCCCTTTCTATTCAGTTTTCTAAAGGATCGTTGGCTGTAGCCAGGGAGAGCGCCGCAAGACATGGGATTGCGGTTAAGCGCATACTCCCCGTGCGGCGCTAGCCATGGCACATTTTTCTGGGAGACTCGGAGAGGGAAAATTCTCGGTTATCAGGATTCCACTGAGACCTTTCTCACGGCTGTGTTCTTGCATATTCATTTCAAGCTATGCGGTTTTGGAAGGTATACTCGCGTCATCGCTGGTAACACAAAGGATCGTCCGTCTACTCCGGATATAGGCGCATATCGCAGGTAACGTAAGAGTATACGCAAGGATTTATCCGAATATGTGTCTCTTGCCAAGACTAGTCCGAGCGTAGTTGTGCTCTTTCCTAATTAATACGTCATCTCTGTCTTATAGCCTTTATGGTTCCAGGCTTCGTAAGCGCATGGGCATCTGCACCTGCACCTGCACGCTGAAAAAATTAAATTACAACAAACCGTCTCGTGCATACGCCGGGACTGTTAGGAGGTTTTCAGGGGATATAAAGGCAGCAGCCCCCAGCTCTGTCCAAGCATCCCCACTCCCACCATTGCCACATCACGCACTATGGGTGAATTATCTTCGCAGGCTTCGAACGCCATCATGTATGTCACCTACGGTGCGTTGCTAGTGTCGGGGTGCTACATCGGGTGGAGAGCCAGAGACGGTATCTCGTTCTTGAGTAGCAACGGTACCCAAAAAGCCCTTCCTTTGAGTTTGAACTTTATCGCCAGTGGTACGTATTAGCCAACCTATTTGAATGGAATTCCTTGCAAAGAAGCAGTCGCCAAAGGTGCGGCAACAACTCACATCATGCCGCGGACGGTGGCTTGAATACTAACCTCTGAGAAAAGATTAGTACTGGATTACGGGTGCAAATCTAACTTCCCATATAGGAAGTCAGATTTTGCTGAGAAGATGCTACCGTTTGAACTCGAACAAGACAATGCTTGCGTGAGGAAATCCATAATCTACTAGCGGCGCGGGAGGCCTTTAATGCCTGAGCCAGTGTACCAAGAAATTAGCCTCAATACATGAACGGAACTGTTTTCATCAAAGTGATAGAACGTGCCTGTATTCATGTTATATCTAAATGGTTGCAACCTGTTGGCCCTTGGCCGGGTCAATACACCATAGGCACCGGCGCCGCCGTCCCCCAGACTTCGATACTAACTCTTTTAGCGATGGGTTGTGGGATCCTCACCACCTATTCCCAGATCGCCAACACCGCGGGGTTACATGGATTGCTCGTATATTGCATCTGTGGGTCTCTCCCTATCTTCCTCTTTTCGTTTGCGGGCCCAGCCATTCGCAAGAGATGCCCCGACGGCTTTGTCTTGACGGAGTGGGTCCGTATGCGCTTCGGAGTTATTTGCAGCTTGTACCTTTCTGCCTTTACGGTATTAACCATGTTTTTGTTTCTTGTGGGGGAGATTTCCGCCCTTAACTACGCCGTGAGCACCTTGACTGGCCTCAATGCGCTTCCCGCGATTATCGTCGAATGCGTGGTCACCACCATTTACACCAGTATCGGTGGGTTCAAGGTCAGTTTCATCACCGACAACCTCCAGGCTTTGATGGTTACCCTTTTGCTTGTCATTTGTGCCTGTGGTATGGGCACTAACATCCACATCGACACATCTTTGATCGGGTCCTCCGGGTTGTTGAAGGAAAACAAGTTGGGCTGGCAGTTGATCTACATCTTGTTTGTAGCGATTGTAACCAACGATTGCTTCATGGCTGGTTTCTGGTTGCGGACGTTTGCGGCCAAGACCGACAAAGATTTGCTCATTGGTACGGGTATCGCAGCCGTTGTTACCTTCGTCTATTGCGCGCTTGTGGGCACTACCGGCTTCATCGCTGTATGGACCGGTGACTTGCAGCCTAACGATCCAGACGGCTATGCCGCTTTCTTCATTTTGCTCGCCAAGATGCCGTCCTGGGTCATTGGCTTTGTGCTTGTCTTCACTGTGTGCTTGTCGACTTGTACGTTGGATTCCTTGCAATCGGCAATGGTCTCTACGATTTCCAACGATCTTTTCCGTAACAAGATCTCCTTGTACTGGGTCAGAGCCATGGTGGTGGTGATCATCATCCCGTGTGTCGTGGTGGGTGTCAAGGCCGCGGACGATGTTTTGCAGATCTATTTGATTGCGGACTTGGTTTCCTCAGCGATTATCCCTATCATATTCTTGGGGCTCTCCGAAAAGTTCTACTGGTTGGCCGGGGTCGATGTAATCGTTGGTGGGTTGGGGGCTCTCTTGGCCGTCTTTGTCTTTGGCACAGTGTATTACGACAACGCTAGAGACGGTGCACGCTTGTTGTTGTTATGGAACGGGTTGTACAACTCTGAGGATTGGGGTCCGTTTGGTGCCTTTGTGATTGCTCCCTTCGGTGGTGTCATCATCGGGTTCTTTAGTTGCGCTGTGCGATTGGCGTCGTTGAAGGTGTACTCCCGGGTCACCGGAAAACCATTTACCGCGTTGGACAGGCCGATTCCGCAGTTACAGGCCGCGGCCGAGGCCCAAAGCGACAGCAGTGAGGAGGATGTGGTTTTTAGCAATGACGGAGCCGACTACGAGTCGGTCTCTTACACCAGCAAGAAATAGATACGAATACCTAATAATCAATAAATGACTTAGTTAGAAACGGGTAAATTAGGAGGGTAATGGTCTGCGGACGGGTAAAAAAAACCATAGGCTTGGCTAGGAGGGAGTTTAGGACGCTAACCACATTTTGGAGTGTGATTCTACACACGTTAATTTTGCAGTCGGGTCAAGCCTTGTGCCGTTCTCACGCTTGCTTGATTGCGAGACAAAACCACGGGCCTTGCTACCCCTACAGCTTTTCACAAATTAAATATCAATACACTAGAGTCCAATGGCCTTGCACACAAGAAGAAGTGCAAACAGAACCAAGGCTAACCAGCCGACCTTGTACTCCAAGAAGAAAAACAAGTACGCCAAGATGGCGTCACTGAGCACGGTGCCGTACTTCACGTACTGGTATCGGCCTTCGATTTTCATCTGGAACTTCTCTACAAGTGGCGTAACATCGGTGGCGGCGAACTCAGGATCGAGTTCCACCTTCTGTAACAGGGTCAAGAACCCGTCTTGACTGATAATCGGCTGTGGCGCGGTGAATGGTACCACAACATCCAAGAAGACCGGCTGGTGATCGCTCTCCACTAACCCCCCGATCTTGTGGTACCTGTTGACCTTCACAACGCCGCGACCCCCATAAGTGTTCAAGAATAAGATACGGTCACACCAGGATGGATTATGGGAGCTGTCCACGTTGTAGATCTGGTTGCCCGCGTCGAGTTTTCCGATTTTGAACTTGTAGGTGGGACGGAAGGCGATCTTAGGCTCTTTCAACTTTAATTTTCTGAGCCAGCCGTTCTTATTAGCGAGCGACAAGGCTAACTCATCGATGGAAGGGTGATAGAAGGCCTTGTCCGGATCGTCGGCACTACTGCTGACGCCTGGCTGTTCGCCAGCATCCACCAACTGGAGCTTGACCTGGGAAGGCGTCTCTTCGTAAATGGTGAAGGGGTTGACGACTGTTCTGTAATTCAAGTCACCCATAATAATGACATGGGAATCCGGTTTAAAAAGCCCCTGGTAGTCCGCCAGTTCCGTGGGATTGGGGTCGTACGGAGCGGTGATGGAAGACGAGGCAGGGTTGGTGTCGGTGCCCCCCTCGGCATATGCACCTTCTCCATGGAACTCGATGGAGCGCGTCAAGTACTTGAAATCCTCGTCCCGCTGGAACAAGTAGCCCTTGCCCTGTTTTGGCGTCAAATGAAAGTCTGCAAACGTGAACTCTGTCCATTCCTCTGCCGTGCTATACTTGAACTGGAGTCTGATTGCGCAACCACCCTTTAACGAGCTATACAAGAATCCACATGAGGACCTCCCAAAGAGATGGTTTCTCGTGGCAAATTCCTTACCGTTCTCTCCGTTGATACCCACCACAAAAAGGCCCAACGCCCCGTGCGTAAACTTGGCAATGGTCTCGATTTGGAGGCTCTTCTCGGAGTATTGCTTGGACAAGGCCTCAAGCACGATGGTTTCCAAGCTGCCTAAGTGTTGCAAGGAACTCACTGGAAAAAAACTCTCGTAGACTGAGCACAATTCCTCAAAGCCAAAGACGAGAAGCTTAGGTGGTTGCTTTGGAAGAGACGCAATCAACTTGGAGCCAAGACTCTCCGGAGACTGGGCTCTCTTGTTGACGTTGTATGTAAAGAGATACAACGGAATTTCAGACTGTGATTCGGACATTGCTTGATTAAACAGAAGGACAAGGGATTGGAAAAAAGAAAGATTATACTTATAGGAAGAATGGCCACGAGTTTTTTTTTTGCCTGTCGGTGCTCCATTTCGGGTGGCGCGTGAGCCGCGAGTAATATGCAGGATATCAACTCTTATCGTGGCGACTACACGAAGGGTTAGCAGCCGTGGTCATAGTCCCCATGCATTCCCGATTGGCGGAGGAGCCTGCAAGTTCTAAGGCGATCTTAATAATATTCCACGGCTAAGAAGAGCGATTGGCGGAGGAAATTGGGTGCGATGGTTCTTATCGTGTTGTATGACCCGCATAGAAATAGCGCCGTAGGGACCCGCGGCCCAAGTATTTAGACGGAAAAAGTCGTCGGTGCTGATAGAGACGCACGTTCCGAGACTCCACACAACCAAGGTATGAGTGTATATTGACAAATTTCCAGCGCCTCTGTCTAACATATTATCATAAGTTTGGGATGAATCTGTTGGGCTTTATGACAATGCAATATTTTGCGTCATTACTAACTATAGCTTACGGCTAACTTAGGCTGATAGGTGGTCTCGGAGGGGGCTTCGGCTAGGACGGTTTTTCTTAGACCCCTGGGAACGGATACTGTCTACCACATTAACTATCTTCCACAACCATCAAACGCCTTCGCAGAGATTTGTGAGAACTTTCACTTTACTTTAAAGGCCACAAAGCTTCTCCACGGTAAGCATTCAGGGCTTGAATAGTACTGCGTTTAAGCCACCTTACCATATCACTGTGATGTATTTGTCTAGGCAAGAAATCACCACCCGTTTGAATGCCTAACCCTCATCTACACAAAGACCACCTCTTTCAACCCTTGGCGCTTTCTGTTTACAAAATCACAATTGGCCCAGAAACCATATATTGCTAAAAACCGAAGCTAAAACTTGATGTGTCTGCTCAACACATCCTTGACCATGTCTACTGGATACGCCGGTCCGTGGCCATGGCATTTCTCATTGCCCTTCAATTCGCTCATAACCATCGCAATGTCGAGCTCGTTATCAAGGTCCGGATAGTCTTCGACGTCCGGGTGGCCCTCAACGTATCGCGTTTCCAATTCTTGTTGCAACTCCTTGAGGTAGTCCCACAACGCGCTGATGGTGAACACCATAACACCCTCGCTGGTCTTGTAAGTGAATCGTTTCTCGATCTGAATGTTGTGGTGGCTCACATCCACCATCTCGTGCACAAAATCGTTTTCCGACAGCGGGAACGAGAACTGCTTCTTGAGATCCATGACAGAGGCCACCGGAGGACTGCTCAGAGTCGAGGAGCGGGAGGACTCCGAGGGGAGCGAGCCGTGGCGTTGGAGAAGCAGGGCGTTGTAGATGGCAGCCGTTTGGCGTTGCTGTTGGGACAAGAATTGGTTCTCTGTCTGGATTTCAAAGTTCTTCTGTTGTAGCAACTTCAACTCCTCCAACAATTTTTTATTGTTCAACTCGGACTCCTGGAATCGCAGTTCGAGCTCCTTCATTTTCTTGTCTTTGCGCTCGCGGAACGCCCGTTGCGCTGCGCGGTTTTGCGCCTTGCGCCGTCTGTTCAACTCCTCTTCGTCCAAGGAGGCTTCGTCGTCTTCCTGGCGGAGAGGCTCCTGGTTACGCTCCTCGTCCGTTTCCACCAACCCTTCGGTCTTTGCCGGCACCTCGTTCAGGCCCTGCCACTGGGTGTTGCTCTGCCTCTGGATCTGAGAGTCGTTCAAAGGAAGCGTAAATGACGCATGAGACGATGGAGATACGTATTCCGGCGCTGGTATCTGTTCCTGCAACTGCGTCATGAAGTGGTTCTCACAGTCATCAATTTCAGAGCAAGGTACAGGGTTTACGTTGGGGTCATCGTGGTACTGCTGGAACACCAGATACGCCTCTGGATTGAGCGGTACGGGGGCTGTGAAGTCCATGGTTTGGTTCATGAAGTTAAGATTGCTCTGGCTGGCGCCGTAGGGAGCCAGCGCCATCTGCTGTCTTGGATCCGAAATCTGCTGGAATGGTGTCTGCATGTTTGTAAAATCCATTATAGGAATATTCTGGTAAGGTTCAACGGAATTATCGGGGCGCCTTGTGAATAGGCGTACTTATAGAGGTGTTGGCGTGGCGGTTTGATGCTAGAGGCCCTACAAGTAATTACACATATTTTGTAAGCCATGGTACTTTAGCGGTGTGGGCACGAACCTAGCATGACTCGTGCCCGGATGAGATGTAACGTGCTGCGTAAAGTGTTACAGATGCGCCTAGCCAAACTTTAAGGTATGCCCGGAGTACGCAGGAGTCCATATTCCGTGGATAGCACGCCTAGGGCATGCATAGTAGATAAGGCCCTGGTGAAGACTTAACCATGATGAGTTCCCTCTAGTGAGGGGGTGTATGCTGATCTGGCAATGAACTACGACACGGGATTAAGCGGCATGTAGTCTCGGGGTCACGCATGTTTTGATCGTACATGAACTTACGCTACACGTATAAATTACACGGGCAGAAGGTGAGCATAAAAACAAGCCCTAGGGCGCTTAGCTCAAGGGCCAAAGGGCCAAAGGCCTTTTACGCGTTCTAATCACATGGAAAAGAAAGCAAGTGAATATCCCCTGTGACCATCGTGTAAGATCTGACGCACATACGATACGAGCATTTGGCTCACGGGCCATCACAGCCTGGATGAAGGTTACCCTGGACTGGGTCACGCTAGGGCTACTCCGTCTTAAACGCCGGGTTGTCATGTTAATTAGGTTAAACACTAGACACCGCGTCATGATCGGCGAGACGTAAGTTCCTTCCATGGATTGAAGGTGGATAGAGTATGAATTAGGCCGAACCATAAAGGGACCGTGACCCTTGACGGTGTACCTGGAATCTAAGAGGTTTGGGTCTGCTATTCCGCCGGGGATTGCGATGTATAGTTTCATGATACCCCGGAACTTGGGAGCCAACGGTGCTGTAAATTTGCAACTGGTCCAAAGAATCGTATAATGCAGGTTTATGTTGTGGTTCACATGCCTGCCAAGTTTCGATGTGGCACCTGAAACTCATACACTCGACTTGGTATCCCTAATGCTTTTATTCATATCCAGCACCAGTTGTGGGACTATTTTCGCTCCTGGGTCGTCATTTAAGAGTGGGGAGAAGAAAAAAAAAGAGGGTTATGACCTTGTACCGTTGCATTTTATGCCTCATTTTGTCCGATTTATTCATAAAATAATGCTCAGTATCCAACGCTTCACACAGAAGCACTATGTATATACACATGGAAGCACTATTTATATACACACTCAAGAGAAGACTTGAGGGCGACTACCTCCCTTGATCTAGTATAATTTTGGGTCGTAGATATGCCCTTACAATGGAGCGGGGAGGATTTCTAGTTTAGAATTGAAGATCAAGAAACCACGAGTAAGCTTTGCAAGTTTATAAACAGTATGGAGTAGAGAAGTCTGTGACTTTTAAATTTAAAGCGAATCGGTAGGTTACATCTCTAACCATGACAGATTAGATCCTTTGGAGGCAAAGTATGAGGAAATAGCGCCGTACTAGTCAAGACGGAGAGCCTGGGGGAAGATGGCGGGGAAGCAACACTGTACTAGTCAATGCTGAAAGCCCAGAGGGGGATGGCAGTGAAGCCAGACCACTGCATACGATCTTATTAAACCGCTTTGTAAACCCACGCTGGCGACGGGAGAATTTGACAGCTAGCTACGTATAATCAGAGAACTACAGAAGAACAAACTTTCCATACGTATAGAACGAGATTTTTTATTATAAATCACAAAAAAGGCACCGTAGCATTAAAATATACATTAATCAGAGCATTTTAACGGGAGGTAGCGTGGACCTTCTGGAAGGCACCCTTGGCTTGCTGCTTGGAAACCTTAGCACCACTGGCAACCAACTTAGCCTTTTCGGACTTCTTGAGAGCCTTTTCAGCCTTTCTCTTTTCCTTGTCAGCCTTGGTGGCTTCTTCTCTAGCGGCCTTTCTGGCTTCTGGCTTCTGGGATCTTCTCTCCTTGATCAATTCCAAAGAAGCACCGACAATGGCTCTCTGGTTCTTGACGGTCTTTCTGGTCTTTCTCTTGGAAGCTTCCTCAGTGATACCCTTCTTGTGGTGTCTTCTGTAAAGGACGGTCCAGGAGATACGTCTTGGGTTCTTTCTTTGGTGGAACAAAGAAGCAGACTTAGCAGACTGGAATCTGAAAATCTTGGAGTCACCTCTGACAAACAAAGTACCTCTACCTGGGTAGATCTTAGCACCAGAAAAAGAATCAGTTTCAACCTTCATTGTGACTATAGACTGTTAGTATTTTTGAACTTTTGTAGAGTTCCAGACAACAAGAAGAGTTTCAAAGAGCGTGGGTAGGCATTGGATTATGATTCCAATAGGTGGGACGTTTGGGCATCCTCACATCGAAACGTCCAGCTTTATAGGGGCAGCATTTCGTGGGCTTGGGTATTGATTCGTGGCCCTCTCGCCTTCACCGCACCTCTTTCGGGGTCTCTCCACAAAACTCGTTTGTGGATGGAACATATCGGTACACAAGGTACATACAAATAGAGTTAGTTAGATAGTGAAAGGGCTAAAAGAAAAGGCGGAGGAAACTTTTGTAAGTAGTCTTTTGTTCAACTCACCATAGTAAACGGAATTTTCGTCCCACACGCTCAATGGGGCGTACTGTGGGCGGCACACCTTGGAACCACCGCTGGGGGGAAAAAATTTCAGAGTTACGATTGTCCTGCACATTTGTCTATACAGATGTCTTCTCTGTAAGACACGGAAAGGGAAATTTCCCTTTCCGGAATCTGACATTTTCCAAGTTTTCATCTCACCACCCAGGCACAACACACTGTGTGCAGGATACAAAACTCCTGGTGGTTCTCAGTTTTCGTGGAAGCTTGCATGCTTGATCGATTAAATTCCTAATCAGGAAGGGGTTTCCGTGACTGGTTTCTCGCCTCGCGAAAATGAAAAATTTTCTATGCCGGGGCACCACCTCGAAGCTGCCCATCGAGGCAGGCCACGCAGTGTATTCCTTTATAACCGATAGCATATCCGCTAGAGATCGGAGGTGAAAAAAACCCCTTTTCTTTTAGTATCGACCGGAGTGTATTTATACTTTATTCTAAATCAATAATCACAGAGATGGTCCGTACTTTACTTCACTACCAGTGAGAGGAAAGAAACGAAAAAGGTGATGCTTCGCTGGCGAAATCCATCCCTTTTGGAGGTAAAACTTCAGAGCACCTATACTTGTTAACTCATTACTCTTCGCTTTCGTTCCTTTACTGCTGCTTGTTCCCCAATGAACCTGATCATGTACTAACATTTTTAAGGCCCCAAAGTCTAAGAACCAGGAAAACATTTCCGCCAAGTTGTCCTTGACCATCAAGTCTGGTAAGTACACCTTGGGCTACAAGTCTACCATCAAGTCTATCAGACAGGGTAAGGCTAAGTTGATCATCATCGCCGGTAACACTCCAGTCTTGAGAAAGTCTGAGTTGGAATACTACGCCATGTTGTCCAAGACCAACGTCTACTACTACCAAGGTGGTAATAACGAGTTGGGTACCGCCTGTGGTAAGTTCTTCAGAGTTGGTGTCTTGGCCATTTTGGACGGTGGTGACTCTGATCTTTTGACCGCTGTCGCTTAAGTTTATTGAATTTGTTTCCAACACTTTCATTAACCAAGCTACCCAACAAGAAAGGAGGCCAGTCCATTGAAGCGGCAAACGAAACGAAGTTGTATGATATGCATTATATAGTCTGTATTAAATATACTTGTGCTGTGGTTTTCTTTCATCTCACAAGATATCTTGTCTGTAAGCAGTATTTAGCATAGTTTCGGAGGAACCCCAAAGCGTTATCTCGTGGTTGCCTTAAGCGCCCGACATAACCAAATAATTGTAATTGACCATATACAATTGAGGCTGGCTATTGTCATGGAGTTGGAGGAACCAGGAATAAACACTCTTGGACGCCCGATATTTAAAAATCATCGCAATACCAGCCAATCGGAAACCTGAGACATCATTATTACCTAGCCCTCTCGCACACTCATTGATGCTAATAGATACATGCCCCAACGGCATACCACGCCCATTGCATTAGAGGTTATCATTATACAATTTCTATTACCTTTATACAATTTCTATAGCCTATATACAATTTCAATCAACTTTATACATGTAATTCCTAGTCCTCACAAGCCTTCTTGCACTGGAGCACAAGCTCGCCCTCAACCACATCCAACGCGCCGATGGAACACCCGATTAGCATGTCGCCAATCACTGGCGGACGTGTTTCCGGGTCGATACTGATCCTGCAGTGGATGCCGTAGTTCACCAACGAGGCCCGTACGGTCCCATTCACGGGCGAACTCATCACCAAGGCGTCAAAGGTGGTTTTCGGGACCCTCTCTAGTAAGCGGGCGAGGTGCGCATGGACCCAATAGGCCACAGACCGTTTTACAGACCGCTTGATGATTTGGTCGCGGGTCTGGATGTGGAAGGCGATGTAGTTCATTTGCGCCATAGAAAATGGGTAAATAGGTGCTTGTCCCATGTGCTGACCCAACAAGTGCGCGTGGACCTGCCAATGGGACACCATATCACCGAAGCGGCGGAGCGGTGAGGTGGACGGGTTGTAACTGACCACGCCCAACATTTCGTGTGGGGAGGCGTTCTGTGTGGTGTAGGTCGAGGCAGACATAAAGGCACTGACTTTGGCAATGTCAGTCAACGGGGGGTAGTCGCCTTGGGCACAGCGGCGACTCAAATTTTGGAACACCTGAGCGATGGAGTCGTCCACCTTTGGCATTCTGAACTGGCGGAACACCCCAGGAATTTGGTTATCGCGGAAAAACGATCCGCTAATGTGGTTGGCCATGATCATGAGCTCGGAGACCAATACCTGGGACGAGGTTTCCTGCTTAGGCGAGAACGAAAGTTGTATCGGGGAATCGGCCAGGTCTTCTCTCTGGAGAGTGATATCTTGGGTGAGGGTCATTTCAACGTCGTCTGGTGACGTTCCAAAAACAATGGCGCCGCTTTTAATCCGCATCTTTCTCAACGCCCGACCCACCTCGAGCATATCCTGGAGATCCTGCGTCATGCTTGCGCTGACGTTCATCTTTCCGGCCAAAATATCGTCCACATCGCTGTATGTAGCCTTGGGGAAGTTTCGTACGGTTCCCGCTCTCACCCGGAGCGAGGATCTATCCACAAACTTTGACCCGGTTTCCTTTGGATTGACCTTGAAGGAGTAGGTGACACATCTGGTGGAAACGCCATCTTTTCCCAATCCTACAACGTCACTGATCTGTTTCGGCAACATCGGCAACACTTTTTCCGGCAAATACACGGTGGAAGCCCTATCAAAGGCGATACGGGCCAAGGGGCTGTCCGGCCGGATGTGCGATGCAGGGTCCGCAATATGGATCATCACCTCCCACTCATCGTTGGAGGTTCGCTGGATACTCACACCGTCGTCGATCTCGTGGGCCGTGGCACTGTCGATACAATAAACGGGCAACTCCCCAAAGTCCTCTCTAATGCCTTCCAACGGATCAGAGTCTCCATTTACCTCAAAAAGCTGGTGATATTCCTGCTCGGAGTCCGATTTCGGGGACGTTTCGGAATGTGGTAAGGCCAATTCCGCGGACCATGTGACGGGATTTTCTTCGCTGCGCACCTCACCTAACGCTTGGAGCAACGTGAAGGCGGAAGTGCGCGAAATGTCTGTCTCGCGGAACTGTGGCATGCTGCGGAGAAGCTTTACGATCATCGTCTCTGTCGGCGCATCAGTAATGCCTCCTGCGACGTACTTCTTCAACAAATACACCACGTTGTCGTACGCCTGGAAGTCCACTCGAGTAGTGATGTTCTCCAAGTACAGGGTAAACGTCTCAGGACTCAGTTTCAAGTCATTTACAATCTCTTCCAATCGCACCCCCATCGACAACGGCAATGCCACGACGGAGATGGGCCCGGAGAACCCTGTCACCACGTTGAGATCGCCCCACAAGCGATTCTGTTTGCGCAACGCCAAAATGACGGCAAACATTTCCGCAGCGTCGAACTTCTCACCAGGGTCCAACTGGCCGTAGTTCTTGCCCAACACGGTGTTTCCCACGGTCCATTTTTCATGGGTTTGCACTGAGAGCACCGTGCAGATTTCCGCGTAAACGCTCTCGACTTTTCGCGGATCGCTGCCCGCTGCCACGAACCGCTGTTTCAAGTAGTCCAAGTCCATCGCCTGCACCGCCTTGACTAGCGTGAAAAGAGAGATCGAGGTGGGACCTGACAGGTTTTGCACCACCCGGTGAATCATTTCGAGTTTCTGCGAAATACGAGAGAGCGAGCTCCACGCGCTATCCATACATGCAATCAACGGCTGGCTCAACACCGCGCGCACCGTTTCTGGTACGAGATACGTCTCCAGGCTGGACTGTGACGCGGCATTATCTACGAGAAACTCGTTTCCCTGGAAGTTTGACGTCTCCTTGGTGACACCTACCGCGGCGTAGCCGTCCATTCTCCGTTCCTTGACAATGGCGTTCGCAAGCCACGGCTTGGGAAAGAAGCCAGGGATTCGGAAGCGGAACGATTGGCGGCCCAGGTAGTGAACCTGACCGGTGTGGGAAATGAGAGTGTAGCGGGAGTCCAACGGGCCCGACGGGACCGCCGCCACCACATGCAAAAACGGCTTGTGGAAGTCCCCACGGAGTTCCACGACATCGCCGATATCCACCGGGGAGGACAAGTCGTTGGGGCGGATAAACGACTGTGTAGGGCCGTAGGTTGCGGTAAGAACGGCGCTGGCCTCAGATTTCAAGGGTTTTGCGGGTATTTGCGCCAACCATTCCTGCGACGGTGCGTGGTACCGTGCGGCCACCCGCTCCTGAATCTCGCGTTCAATCTGCACAAACGGCTTAATCTCGATCTTTTCGAGCTCCTTCCAAAAATTGGTTGAGCTTGTGGCGCCCAACTTGTCTGTCAACTCCTTGAGCAAGTCATCGGCCGAGCGCAGGGCGTCTGGTTCAGCGGGCGCCGCCACAGGTGTCTCAGAGTATAGTCTGTGCGAGTGTGCCCTGGATAGGGTTCGCCTGGAGAGTACAGAGCGAGCTCGAATGAGTGACAACATCTTAGAGACTGTCCCGGTGAGTCTGGATGGGGATTTGTGGAGGCAAAATTTGTCACGTTTGGTCTACATCATGTAGAAAAATATGTACGAAAATATGCGGAACGTCAACACGTGATGAGATGAGCTGGTTAGCTCACGCTTAATAGTTTATAGGAAAATGCTATTGACGACATGTGTACCAGTTTATCCTAGATTAGGAAATGTGGTTCAATTTAATTGCTTCAATTGACATCCAGACTTATTTTTGGGTAATATGCCACACACCGATATATATGGAATCCAACTGACAGCTTTAAAACTGCTATATGCAGAAAGACCACTTGCTACAGGGTGATTATCAAAATTATTGGTATTAAACAGAGCCACTCTCTTAGGATTGGCAACCTCTATGGGAAAATGAGAAATTTAAACTGGTGGGGTAAAGCTAGAACAACCATACCATGATCTTACTCCACCAGGTTTCTGGCTGGCCAGACTTTCCCTCCGCCTCCAACTTGGCATAAAACTCGTATTCGTGCTCTTCAATCTCGTCCAAGCCCCAAACGAAGTCGACTTCTTCTGGCTTGATGAACTTGGTTCTCTTCAAAACCTTCCAGAATACGAAAATGGCAATGTTGATAAAGATCATTAAATAGGAGAACAAGAAGTTCTCAACAGACCACCAACCCGGCATAAAGACGGTGTAGCCCAAAATGAACACCATGATCCAGATGAAGAAGGTGGCATAATAACTGCTATATGGCTGGAACCAGGCTCTGTAAGGCAAACCGTTTCTATCAATACCCTGGGCCTTCATCGCGCGGTAGAAACTGAGGTAGGTGACACACATATGCGCGTAGTTCAACATCTGAGCACCGGTACACAAGTTAACGATCCAGTCCAAAACAACAGAGGCACTGCTACCCAACTGCAAAAGCGCCAAACACGAGAAACAGAAACCAATAGCAACACAGTAGTATGGGACACCCTGGCCGTTGACCGCTCTCAAGACCTTTGGAGCGTAACCCTTCAAGGCCAAGGCGTACAACGATCTAGAGGAACAGTACAAGTAGGAGTTACCGGCGGAGAAGGCGGCAGAAAGCACAAGACCGTTCACAATATGAGGCAAGACCTTAATTCCCATGTTTTGCATGGCAATAACGTATGGCGAGGCAGCGGAGTTGGACGAGGAGCTGGTGAGCTTTTCAAGCAAGACAGGATCATTGTATGCAACCAAGATACCCACCGACAAAGCACCACCAATGTAAAAGAGCGCCAATCTGTAGATAACCGTCTTGTATGCAACCGGCAACACCTTTCTTGGGTTCTCACATTCACCCGCGGCCATGGACATGTACTCCGGACCGACAACAAAGAAACAAGCATTGGATAACGCGGCCAACCAGCCTTGGAATCTCCCCATGCCACCAGTAGTGACATAGGTACCGAACAAGCCTGGGTTTTTCCAGTAGCGGAAACCAAACGCGTCGTGACTAGGATTACCACCGCACATGCTGACCAAAGTGAAAATTAATAAACCGATACAAAGGACTAACTTCCCGATAGAAAGCCAGAATTCAGATTCACCGTACCATTTAACGGCAAACACGTTAATTCCGGTGTAGATGACAATCTGGATACACAAAGTGATAGCCGGGGAGTAGTCATCGCGCCAGAAGTGAATCATACCGTTGACAGCGGTGATTTCAAACGGAATGTAACACGCTTCCATCAAGAAAAAGTTCCACCCGGCGGTAACTTCGTAGGCCTCATCAACCACTCTACCGGACATGGAGATAAACGGCGAGGCAACTGGCATGTAACACACCATTTCAGCAACCATAGAGGTCAAAGCCAAGATAACGGTGGTCCAGAAAACAACCGCAATGAGCAACCCTAATGGCCCGGCTCTGGTTAAACCGGTAGCAATGGTGACGAACAAACCGGTCCCGATGGAGCCACCAATGGCAATCAACTGGATGTGTCTGGACTTTAACTGTCTTTGTGTTTTTTGATGTTCATACGCCTGCGCAGCGGTTGAATTGGTGAACGATTCATCGTCGTCTTCGTCGTTACTAGAATTCTGGATAGAGGAGGCTGTTGGGTTGGTTTTCTTTTCCGAGGAGTGGCTGAGATTGGGAGTTTCCCCCGCCGGGTAGTAGCTCGGGGCTTTTTCTTGCGACAACCTGGAAGAGCCGACTTCGGCTGTTTCTTGTAACTCTATATTATTCATGGTGGCAGATATGTGTTATGCGAGGGTTAAGAGGGAAACAAGGTTATGTTTCTCACGCGAATGCTATGCAAGTATGAGATGTGGGAGCTATGAGATCTGTGAGAGTGTAAACAAAAGAGAGATCTATATAGTAAACATCTGAGGATATCTACCGATTTATATAGTAAAAGACATTTTCTGCAGCCACAAACGTTGTAGATTATTTTTTCTTGACCAAAGAATAGATACCCGAAAAAGAAAGAAAGCCTAAAAGTTGAACTGCTGCATAGGTTGAAGTTCGCCATGCAGCCTCGAAAGCATGTACGTTTTAGCAATTTAACCTGCGCGCCGGAGTACGTGAAGACGGACCAAAATGTACGGACAATAAATGTATACCATTTTTTTTTTCGCAGGTGGGTAGTACCGTCTAACCAAGGGGCGACCTCCGAAAGTCAACTCAAAATTCTGATGGAATCTGTCGATACACTGGGCTATAACTGGTTTCAGGCGTGGGGGCAGGGCGCACGAGGGTTTCACCGCATGCATGATTGTCGTAATGACGTCGTACGAGGATATTTATATACAGGAGGACCGGATTTGGCCGGAAAGTTTCCGAATGAAAGAGACTTAGTTTCGGGGGCAGCGGATCTGCACAAGACCCGTGACCTAAACAAGTTCCTTGTGATGCTCGTCAGCCAACAGGGCTATGAATTTAAATTCACAAAGGTTGGTCAACCGTGTCTTTGCCAGCACTAGTGTCCAGTAAATTTGGCTGCTGAAATACTAACCATGGCTTTAATTTCTGAAGTTACGTTATGTGGGGATAAAGCCGAGGGGTGAGAATAAAAAGTCGAGGGGGTGCGGCAATGCTTACAACGGAAACATCTAAAACCGTTACAACTCCAAGGAATGGGGCTGGTAGAAAGGGCTCAACGGCAAAGAACGGGAAGGGTGCGCTCTGCCCACTGAAATTCATTTAGGAGGGAATGTTTTAAAAGTTCATGTAGTTGAAACTCAGCCCCGGCCTATGGATACAGCAGCTATGGTCTAGTCCCGAGAGTTACGCGTGTTCGGAGCCCTCAGGCTCTCCACACAAGCATTTCTGTGACTACCAATACGTGAGTAAACTGAGCTCATCTCTGACTCGACTCCTACAAAGCAAGCGCAGGCTTGGGGGTATTGTATCTCATGATTGGTGACTCAGGAAGGTGAACAACATTGAGTTAGTTTCAAGGAGATTCGTGCATATGCATGGCCCTCGAGCAACAACCACTCACCGCACCGAAACACTGCCAGTAGAGAAAAGTTGGGCAATGACCACTGAATCCCCTCGTATAAACTGATAATACCTGTCAGCTACAGTTGCTCGTGCAATATATTGTATCCAAAATTCCAGAGCTGGCTGAGGACCAGGGTGCTCACTACCCTCGAACTATCGGTCCTCGGAATCCGGAACTAACGACCCAGAATTAAGCTGCAGTAGCAAGTGTAATCGTGCATACACCAAGGGAATGCGCATACATTTGGTGGTGAGGGCCTAGATGCAAGATGACATAAATGTGAAGTTTTTCACCAGTAGTGTTGCCTGACACCTTCACCTCAATTCTGCCCACTGGTTCCCAAATCTAGGATATGTAAAGGGTCCCATCGAGGGAAACATTCCAAGTTATGTATGAATAAATACCGTCTTTTTTTTAAGATTCCCTGCTTGTGCGTCCATAGGGGATTACTCCATGATAAACTTTCTAGCCATGTTTGCAGAACCCTTGAACGATGTTTAAGGAATAAACTCGTGCGTCAATAAAACTATATGTAGTCTACTTTTGGGTTGGAGATTTTCATGCGATATGCACATACGCTTCAATGACGGTGTGAAATATATAGAGCTCTCGCCACAAAATACCTACAAAGGGAATCTTAAGGAGTACCGAAAGTGAATTTAAGCTCCCAAATACGACTGCTGAATTTGAGAAGACCGAAGCTTACTTGTTTTCTGGCAATAAGATTTTTTTATACGAAATTTCAACATATATGTATTAACTACAGAGGACCTTCAAGGCTATATACCAAACATTTAAACGTGCTTGTTAATAAACGACGTAGATATAAATGAAACTCAAAGTCATAAAAGTTAAAGTGAATAACGCAATTATGTAGTTACATCTAGATAGGCATGGATCTGAAAGAGAAAAAAAAACAGTACCCACGTAACATGAAAAAATGCCAGGAAGTGGTTGTACCAAACTGAATACCGGATTGGGCGCTACAAGGTCTAGCAGTAAAAATGGAAAGCTTAGCGGAAGGTGCTAGGGTAATCAGGTTTAAAGAAGCGAGAATAGTCGGAACAGAAAGTGAACATGAAAGCTTGGAGGGCTCCGTGTGGATATTCCTTATACAAACATCAAGCCTGCCATCAAGACGCCCGCACCAACAGAGCCTGCAACTTTGTTGAGTGATGCAGCCGCACCGGTTTGGGTTATAACCGAGTGAGAGGTAGATAACTTACTGGCAGATGACACAAGAGTAGTAGGAGTTGGTGTAGTGGTTGGCTTTGGCGCAGGAGGGGCAGGAGAAGGTGTAGTGGTTGGCTTTGGAGCAGGAGAAGGTGTAGTGGCTGGCTTTGGAGCAGGAGAAGGTGTAGTGGTTGGCTTTGGAGCAGGAGAAGGTGTAGTGGTTGGCTTTGGAGAAACTGTTGCAGGAGCAGCAGTAGATGTGAGCGCGGTAACTGGGCAGGTAGTGACGGTAACAGAGGTAATACACTTGTGGTCAGAACAAGAGGTGACAGTGACGGTCGCAGTTGTCCACTGTTCGGTGGTGGTGGTGGTGGCATTAGAATAGGATCCAACAGGCGAAGTGGTGTGGGCTGGTGTGTTTGGAGGAGGAATTGGTCCGGTTGGGAGATCAGTGACTGGACAAGTAGTGACAGTCAAGGTGGTGACACACTTTTGATCTGAGCATGAGGTAATGGTGATGGTTGCAGTTGTCCACTGTTCGGTGGTAGTAGTAGTTGTGTTGGAGTATGAGGTTGGAAGAAGAGTAGGAGAGGAAGAAGCCACAGTCTGAGGGAGGGCATCAGCCCAAACCTTACCTTCGCCGGTAGTACCCACCTGAGGGAAGGCATCAGCCCAAGCTGTGCCTTCACCGGTCGCACCCACTTGGAAACCGAGACAGTTAGCACCAGTGTTGGTTGTGAAGATTTGATATGCCGAAGACGAGCCATCATTGCAGGCAGAAAACCCGGTAGAACCACCAAAAGTGAGGTGACTTGGAGAACCATCGGAACTAGAGATGATGGAGAAACCCGGAGTACCCTTGGCTCCAACACCCAAAGAGTTGTCTCCGTTGACAACTAAGAACTTTCCGTCAGTGGTCTTGACCGTGGTATCGTCCTGGATCTGCAATGTGCCGAGTTGAGTTCCAGCATTGATGTAAATATCATCACCTTGGACACTCCAGGTAGAGAAGTGAATAGGAGAGGCCGATCTAA